ACACCGGAACCAGCAAGAGGAACAAAAGCCTCAATATTTTCGAACATTTATGGAGTCATTTGATCTAAGGTTTGCTTCCATAGAATCTCACCTGACTGAGTTTTAACGGGAGATGCGTGAACGTATGGATGCTCTCACACTTAAAGTGCGAGCACATTATCCTACTCCTCACGATCCTCCTATGGACAACTAGACCTATCTTGCGTTAGTTTACTTGAACTGAACCCCGAACTCATAACTTTGTATTATAAAACATTTTGATGTTCATGGATTATTTTATTTTGGATGTTTGAATTTATAGGATGATTGGATATTTGAACATACATGCTTATATATTTGGTTTGGTTTTAACTTTCATTTTGAGCTTAATGTTTATTTTTGCATCATTTACATATTAGTTGCAGTATGACCAATTTTTGCCATTTCACATTGTTTATGAATATTGAATTATGGAACTAATGGCTAATCTTTCTCTTGATTGTGATCTTAGAAGCTTAAGCCATATCTAAATATCAATTGACTAATTTTTCAAAAAACCTTGTTTAAAAAGTTTTAGAGTCTTTTTTATTTAACAAAAAGGGGGAGAAGTGTTAGAGTAAGGGGGAGTAATTTCAAAACTTGATTTCAAAATTTATTTTTAATTACAAAATCTTAAAATTACTAAAATGTTTTGTTATATCAAAAATTGGGAGATTGTTGTAAACATTTTGATGTTTCTATATAACAAATTAAGTTAAATGAATTTTAAGATTTTACAAAAGATTTTCTAAGTATATTCGATATAATTATTTAAATATCAAAATATTACTCCAAGTCTTTCAAAGTTCATTTTAATCCTTACTAAAGTGTAAAAATATGTTTTGATCTTTTAAACAAATTTACAAAGTATTTCGAGCCTTAATCAAGCCAAAAATATTTTATTTTTAAAGGGGTTTTAAGAAAAACCAGATTGCCCAGAGGGAACAGATACCCCCTGAATGGTTTTGGCTTCGAGAAAATAGAATGTCTGGGGGGTACAGATTTTCCCCCAGGGGGTACCGATTCTCCCCTGTTTAACGGTCAAAATATTTGAATTTTTACACTGCAGGAACCGATTCCCTATGAGGGGTACCGATTCCCCCACGCTCCAAGCTGGTTTATTAATTGTTTTCACACAACAACGACTCTATTAACTCCACCAATGATCCCCCAATGTTCAGAAGTGATCCAAGGAGTATTTAAACAAGCTTAGAATCCATTGATCAACAATTAACAAGAATTGAGAGAGAATCAAAGAGAAATCATCAAACTCATTGTTTGAGCACTTCAAGCCTATTTTTCATTCAATATTCATTGTGCTTTCAAGAACACCATTTTTGCTCTATTGTATTTATCCTTGAGTGTTCTTTCTTTGTTCTAGAATTGTGCAAACAATCTACCTTGTGAGGTTTTCCTTGTAAGTTTGCAAATTTGTATATTTCTCTTTGAAAAAGAGTGTGCTCAAGAATTTGGGGTATAATTCTTGAGGGAGTTGTAAGGTTACTCTTTGTCCTCAAAATAAAGAACAAATTAGTGAATTTGTTGGAAAATCCTTAGTGTGGATAACTAAGGTAGTGGACGTAGACTTTGGTTGAGAAAGTCGAACCACTCTAATTCGCTATGCAAATATTTTCAATTTTCTGCAAAAGCTTCCACCAAATTTTTTATTGCCAATTCACTCCCTCTTGGCCAATTCCATCGATCGATTAACTCAACAGTATCCCACTGGCTTCTCATTTGAAACTTAGTTCTCAGTTATCTCCTAAAACTAATGAAGAACGAGAATATATGGAAAAAGTTCCATATGCTAATGTAGTTGGGAGCTTGATTTATGCAATGGTGTGTACGCGTCCTGACATTTCAAAAGTAGTTGGAGTTGTGAGCAGGTACATGCATGATCCTGGAAAAGGACATTGGAAAGCTGTGAAATGGATTCTACGGTATCTCCAACAAACCGTGGATATTGGTTTAGTTTTTGAACATGATGAAATACTTGGTCAGTTTGTGGTTGGATATGTTGATTCCGACTATGCTGGTGATTTGGATAAGCGTTGATCAACTACTGGGTATTTGTTTACTCTTGCTAAAGCCCCAGTAAGTTGGAAGTCTGCTTTGCAATCGACGGTGGCTTTGTGTACTACGGAGGAATAATACATGGCAGTTTCAGAGGCTGTAAAGGAAGCAATTTGGCTTAATGGGTTGATGGAAGACTTGGGAGTTGTTCAAAGTCACATTAGTCTCTATTGTGACAGTCAGAGCGCTATTCACTTAGCTAAAAATCAAGTCTACCATTCAAGGACTAAGAAAATCGACGTGAGGTATCACTTTGTGCGTGAGATCTTTGAAGAATGAAAGATTCTATTTTAGAAAATTACGACAGCAGAAAATCCTGCAGATATGATGACCAAGGTGGTAACAGTAATTAAGTTCAATCATTGTTTGAACTTGATTAACATCCTGAAAGTTTGAGCACATTCGAGTGTGTGGCGCTTGTGAGCACAATTAGAGCCACTACATTAAAATAACTTAATCAAATTTGGGGAGTTGAAGATTTTGAGTAGGCTTGGTAATTTCAAGCCAAGGTGGAGATTTGTTATGTTTGGATTGCAAATTGGCAAGTTGGCAAGTTGAAGGCTTGCAAGTTGACAAGTTGGCAAGTTGCTAACTTGTGCACATGTGATAATTATCTTTGGTTAGCAAGTGGACAACGTGAGCACATGGGATAATTCATCCTTGGTTGGCAAGTTGACAAGTTATGCAAGTGGCCAACTTGTGCACATGAGAATTTCATCTTTGGTCCCTAAAATATTAGGTTATTTATAAGTTTAGTCCTTAAAACTCAACTATAAATAGGCCTAAGTATTTCCATTAGAAATCATGCCAAAACAAGTTCTCTATTTTTGATTTGTTTTCTTCATTCTCTCACTTTGGGAGTTCTAAAGAATTCCATTTGTTGTAATATTTGTTGATAGTGAAGTTATCATCCGGTATGGTGCCCGAGAAGTAGACGATATTTTCGTCGAACCTCGTAAATTTGGTGTGTTCTCTCATTTATTATTCTTTATTAGGGTTTTTCATTGTGTTTCAATATTCAATAGTTTGACGGATTTGTCCGCTGTGCAATCTTGATAGTTTTGATCTTGACATTTCAGATCAATTTTGAAACTACGTTCGTGTGGGAAATAACTCGGTTTCCCTGAAACTGCATTCCCCGACTCGAGCTCTCCTCATCTTTTCCATTCTATATGCAATTAAGTAGTGCTCTCGAGGAACAAATCTAGTCACAACAGTCCACTTCCTTTCCAGCAGTTCCTTTGTACGATCGAGTACAAAAGAAGCGGTTCAGGTTTGTTTATCCTGTAGCATTCTAATTATTTTTATATTATCACTTTCAAGAATCACATTCTCCTTTTGAAGTTGCCACGCCTTTGTAACCCTTTAACTATTCCCATAGTTCAGCTTCAATTACCGAGCAAATTCCCAGAAATTTGGAGAATTCTCCATATGATGCAAATCCATCTTTTTCATCTCTCACTCCATCCATATTTATCTTAATCATTTCTTGTGGTGGGGGAGACCATGTTGTTTTTATGTCTTCGTCCGTCCTTCCTCGTCACGCCTATGTGTTTCTTTGTTATTTTCTTTACAACATTGAGCAGTCTCAGGCTCCTTCTATTATTGTTTCAACACCTGTTTTATCTGGTTCAAGGACATACATATTCCTATTTAGCCGTATCACCCATAAGATTATGCCAAATAAAACCTTCCAATTATCCACGTTCTTTGCAAAGTGATATGGGTTTTCAAAGTTGATATTAATCCATTCCCTCAACTCCGTCCCAAGGAATTCCTCTACTCGCTCTGGCTTTATTAGACTAAGCCAAGTTGTATGGGAAACATGACATTCCCTTAGCATGTGATCGAATTTATATATGTAAAAAACACTTTTTAGATCAATGGAGTTTTTAACGGTTATATATAATTCAATGGTCCATTGTTATCCAATTTTCACATCCACTGAACGAGAATGACTACTGATTCTCGATTAAATCGGTCAAAATATCTTATTCGATTTTTGAAATATCAAAACAATTGTTTGGGAATAGCCAGATATGTGACATTGTATAACTTGCGGTGATTATTCCCTCTTCAATAATTTATTTTTAAGAAAACATTTTGTTGGCATAATTTTTTTTGGATAATTTGATTTTATTACCCAAAAGAAGGAAAAGAAACGTGCAATCAATACAAACTACCAAAAGCCATTAGGCACCAAACCCTGACTAGCAGCCTAGGTAACAACCAAACCAAATACAACAAAAATAAACAGAATAAGAAAGCAAGCAGCAAAATGCAAGCAAGAGCAAGCTCCCCATAAGAAACCATCGATATACCTGCACACATCTACAAATGTAGAACCAAGAAGCCCTCAGCAAATCAACAATCACCAACACTAGCCAATGCTCCATTCCAGGCAAAGCTGAAGATTAACACTATCAACCTTGTTTATGTTGTATCCTTATAACCTTGCCCCAACCGATCTCCTAATACTTTCAAAGATATCATCAGCTGTCCTAGAGCAGCCCCTAAAACACCTGAGATTGTGTTCTTTCCACACAAAGTATAAAATACAAATCCAAGCCAATTTCAAAATATAAATCAACAAGGATTTACCCATGAAGTTGGCTACTGCCCAAGCCAAAGAATCACTCCAACCCAATTCCCTGTGGGGGATTCTACAAGTCTGCAGCACCTTGCTCCAAATTCCCCTAGAAAAACACAGTCATTGAAAAGATGGTCCCTGTCTTCAAGCCCAGCATTACAAAGAACACAACCTCCATCCAACTCTATTCCCATATTGTTGAGTCTATCCTTAGTAGAAAGCCTATTCAAAACAGCCATCCAAGCAACAATTGACATTCTTAGGACATATAAGGGGAACCAAATAAGGTGTTCCCATCTGACCTTTTCCCTTTTGTCTCTTAACTTTCCCACACCCATTTACTTTTAACCATATTCCAGTCCACTATACTACCAAATAAGACAACAGCTTTATTCCTAAGCTTAAGCAGTTTTCTTAAAATCCAGTTAAACTGAGGTTTAGGACTGACTTCCCAGTAAGCAGTCTCCTTCATAGCATATTCTTTGATCCAGACCACCCAAAGTGACCATGCATTAGCTAAGATGTTCCTGATCAGTAAGAAGCAACATACCTTGTTCCAACAACCAAGACTCTTCAAACCCAAACCACCCTCTGATTTTAACCAACACATTTGTAACCAGCTCACTCTAACCCCCTAGTAGGAATGTCACCACCCTTCCAAAAAAATCTCATACAAAACTGCTCAACCTGCCTAATGACCTCATTTGGCAGAACCAGCTGCCTACACCAGTAATTTGAAATACTAAAAATGATAGATTGAATAAGCTACAACCTACCACCATAGCTCAGCTTCAATTTAGACCATATGTTCAGTTTACTTCTAATATTATCAATCAAAGGAATGCAATCCTTGACAGCTAATTTTCTAGTGACTAAAGGCACCCCAAGGTACCTAACAGGGAGTCTTCCTAATTTAAATCCAGTTACTGCCAGCATCCTACTTAAGATATCATTTTGTACCCCACAAGCAAACAGTTCATATTTACCAGTATTAAGCTGAAGACCAGACAAATCATAGAAAATCTCCAAAACCTCAACAACACCCAAAATAGAGCTCTCGTCACCATAACAGAAAATAAGCAATTCGTCAGCAAAACTAAGATGGGTGAGGGAGACACGTTTGCATTTAGGATGAAACCGGATTAGGCCATTACAAGCAACAACATTAAGCAAATGAGACATCACATTCATACCAAAACAAAAAGATAAGGGGACAGAGGGTCTCATTGCCTAATCCCCCTTCTCCCTTTAAAAAACCCCCACTAAGCTCCCATTAAATGCCACAGAGAACCTTGCATCAGTGATACAAGACCTGATCCAAACTCTAAATTCCTCAGGAAGCCCCAAGGCAGCAAGAACTTTCAACAAAAAATCCCAGCACACATAATCAAAAGCCTTCCTAAGGTCAATTTTAAGAGCACATCTAGGGGACAGTGAGTTGCGTGAGTATCCCCTAACTATTTCCTGAGCTAATAGGTTATTATCAACTATGTTGAAAGAAACTAAACTCGTTCGATTCCAAATATTAATTTAATACCACAATGGGCCAAGTGTAAACAAAACCTGAGAGAGAAATCGAACTCGCTATATTATAAGGAAAACCCACAAAAGCGAGCGACCATATCAATAATTTGTTGTACCGCCTCGGGGCTTTCACAACCCTAACCTTACTTGCAAATTGCAAAAACAAAAAGCTTTCTACGTTTATTTCTCTTGCAGGGAATGAATTAACATAAACTATCATACCAAATGGTTCATTCATTTCGAGATGATGTGTTACGTCGAAATGTCTTGGTGAAATACTTAGAGACCGGAGTGTTAGGGACCGGAATCAGCTTTCCGACAACCGCCAGAGGCCAACTTCAACGCACAACAATAACAACAATAGCAGTCATCAATCCGCTTTCCAAATTTCAACCATTCTTGCAAATGGCAAAACAACTTTGTAATTTCTAATCTTATTAACTAATATCAATTAGCAAGAGCAACATAGAGTAATACTAATATGGACATTCTACCAAGGTGTATTTTAATGATTAAAATTGAAAAGAAGAGTAAGAGCTTACCTGCCGATACCAATGCCAATAGACACAAGCCATGACTGCCAATCAAGTCTGACTGTGCTGGTAAACTTTCCAAGGAACTCTATAATGATTATCTAATAATACACTCTTGGAATTAGTATCACAATTCACATGTATTCTGAGTAAAAATGGATCATTACAAACAAGATAGAATCAATGGTAAAAAGGATAAGATGATTGATCACATGAAGAATCAATGTAAATCCAATGATACCCATAAAGAGGTAGTTTTTAGTCACTCCTTTGAAGCAGTTAAGCTTCTTCCGGCTTTCTAGTATTAAACTCATTAAATATTTGTAATTTGGAACAATAATTAAATTTGTGCTTCACACTGATTGCATTTTTTATTCAGATAGATATGTTTCAGCACTAATGTAGACTTTTCTCACATAGAATAAGTAATGGTTACTTGCACAGTTAGTACTTGAAAGATGGTCAAATTCTTGATTTGGTATTTAAAAAGTTAAAAAATCGGAATTAAGTGCTTGAACTTTGATTCTATCCATCAAATTGCACAACGCTAACCAAAAAAAGACACCCGACAAAATTGCAACATGTGACATGGTAAGTGGTTATTGGCTGATTCTAGGTACATCATCCATTTGTGTTGAAAACATTTTGATATTTCGATATAACAAATTAAGTTAAATGAATTTTAAGATTTTCCAAATGATTTTCTAAGTATATTCGATATAATTATTCGAATATCAAAATATTACTCTAAATCTTTCAAAAATTATTTTTAATCCTTACTCAAGTGTAAAATTAAGTTTTAGTCTTAAAATAATTTCAAAACAATTTTACAAAATATTTTGAACCATTTCAAAGCCAAAATTCCAGATTGCTCAGAGGGAACCGATTCCCCTCCAATGGGGTACCGATTCCCCCTGAATGGTTTGGCTCCAAGAAAAACAGAATGCTCGGAGGGAACCGATTCCCCCCAGGGGGTACCGATTCCCCCCTGTTTAACGGTCGAAATATTTGAATTTTACACTTAGGGAACCGATTCCCTATGAGGGGAACAGATTCCCCCCACGCTCCAAGCTGTTTTATTAATTGATTTCACACTAAAACACTCTATTATCTCCACTAATCATCCCCAACGTTCAGAATTAATTCAAGGAGTATTTAAACAAGCTTAGAAGCCATTGATCAATAACAAGAAACAACAAGCAACCAGAATCAAGAGAGAATCAAAGAGAAAGCATCAAACCTCAAGTTTGAGTATTTCAAGCCTATTTTTCATTCAATATTCATTTTTCTTTCAAGAACACTTATTGTGCTCAATTGTATTATTCTTGAGTGTTCTTTTCTTTGTTCTAGAATTGTGCAAACAACCTACCTTGTGAGGATTTCCTTGTAAGTTTGTAAATTTGTATTGTTCTCTTTGGGAGAGAGTGTTCTCAAGAATTTGGGGTATAATTCTTGAGGGTTTGTAAGGTTACTCTTTGTCCTCAAAAGAAAGACAAATTAGTGAATTTGTGGAAAATCCTTAGTGTGGATAGCTAAGGTAGTGGACGTAGACTTTGGTTGAGAAAGTCGAACCACTCTAAATCGCTGTGCAATTACTTTCAATTTTCTGCAAAAGCTTCCACCAAAATTTTAATTGTCAATTCACACCCCTCTTAGCCATATTCGTCGATCGATTAACTCAACAATTTGAATAATGGTATCTAGGAAAGTTGACAGATAGGAGCAGAGATCTAGGTAACTAATTGTGAATGATTAAACCCTTAGCTACCAAATCGAGAGTTTAACTACAACTTTGGTGCTAAATGAGTAAATTAACCTTAAAACTAATACCAGCAAATCGAAAGAATACCCCAAGCAGTTCACATCATCAATTACTTACTTGACACATGACAAATGCGTTAAATATCAAAGTATTCTTCACTTCATAAGCATGTGTCCTGTCAGGGTCATCTTTTAAATGAAGAATTGTCATGCCTTCAAAGTTGAGCACGAGGACAATAACTTGATATGAAGCCTGAAATGACGTGTGAAAAAATGATAAGAGAAGACAGAATTGCAAAGCTACATTTTCGAGACTCTGCAAAGCTAACAACTCTCTTAATTAATGAAACTTGCAACTATGACAAGTGAAAATCTAACGGGGGAACAAATTTAGTCTTGTAATGAGGGCCCAAGAAGACAGGTACCTGTAAGAGTAAGTTCCTCCACATGATGTTTGTAATTAGAGGTTTCCTGAGAAATAAAATAATTATATTAATAACGAAAAGACAATTTAATTGTACATCAGCCCTTTTTAATCATATAATAATTATCTTTGTTTTTTTAGATAGGAATTGGAGGTCTCGTTAAAAACCTCCTTCATAATTACCAATCCCCATAGAGCGAACAGTAAAAAGTGGAAGAGGAAAAAGAGTACCTCATATTTATTAATAGAATGACAAAAAGCTCATATTACAACAGATAACATACTAAAGCCTTACAAACAGAAACCCTTACAAGACCTCGGTACAACCAAAACTAGAACCCCAACTAGGCTCCAATTACCCTATCCCTTGTTTATCTAATTTGTCAGCTTCCTAGTTGGCACACCTACTAATCACCTTGAGAGTAATAACCTCTATACATATTAAGGAACCAATTTCCTTGACGAGGCTAACATAAGGAGCAGGGCACCTCATCGGATCCTTGATCCACAGAACCGTGTTACTGCAGTCACATTCCAAAATAAATCAACCATAACTATACCCCCTAGATGATGTCCCGAGGAGAATACCCTCTCTAACAACCTTTTATTCGACAAGAACATGAGGACCTGAGCTAACCGTTCTTGAAAAAGTTCCCATAGTTTGACCATTTGAGTCTCTAATCAAGCCACCAATGCCACCACTGTTCCAATCTGAGTTAACAGCACCATCAACCTTAACCTTATAAAAACCTGGCGAAGGAGGGGACCAAGTAACGGGAGAGGAAATAGCAGGTTGCCTCCCTCGGGGAATAGAATCTGCTATGGAGGGGTCACAAATCAAAGTGTCTAAACTTAATTTGGATTCAGGATTCTTCGCTATAAACCATGAAGCCATACAAAACCTTGTTACAAAGTAGAATGATTGAATATCTTCAGGCCCATTGTCAAACACAATAGAGTTTCTAAATTTCCAGATTGACCAAAAGGCTACCCCAAGAATAAACGGCCAAATACGAGAGTTAGGAGCTAAACCCTCCCACGCAGCCACTAAGGAGGGAAAATCCAAAGGAAGAACTACTAAAATTCTCCAAATTCTGATTAGGTGGTTCTAAAGACCCCATAAAATGACACAGAAAAAGAATAGATGGGAGGTTTTTTCAGGACACGACTTACATAAGGGACAGAGCACATTTACCACCACTGAAACACCTCTTTTGGCCAACTCCACTTTAACCGCTACTTTCCGATGATCTACTTGCCACAACATAATCTCCACCCTAGGTGGTACTAACCCTTTCCAGATATTACTTAAACCGCAACTCCACTCTCTTTTATTACAAAGAATGAGGTCTCTAGCAGATTTGACTGAGTAGATGCCTTCCACATTCCCTGTCTATACTAACCCATATTTAACATCCAAAATGGGATTCACACAAGATAATAGGGTCATTAGGTTCAACCATTGATCTAATTACCAATCCACTAAGTTTTGATGTCCCAAACTCAACACACAGTGCTTAAACTTCCAAAATCTGTAATCTTCCCTCCCTTATTCAGCGACAGGGAGAATATCCTTGGAAATTAAGACTTTAAAGGGACGTTACCGAGCCAATTATCGTGCCAAAACAACCTTCCCATCTCCCAAACGACACTTAATATGACTTTGAAAACACTCCCAAACTTGTCTTCATGTATACAAGACCTAACAATCCCTCTCCAAAAACACGAGGGATGCTTTAGATGATCGTTAGTTAGGACTACAAACTGGGGATCCAAGTTATACCTATTGCATATCATATTCTTCCAAGGTGAATCCGACTCTGCGTCAAACTTCTACACCCACTTTCCTAGTAAGGCTTGATTTAGAAGGTTTAAATCAATGACCCCTAAACCCTCACACTTCTTGGGTAGACAGATGGTACTTCACTTTACCCAATGTA